AGCTGGCACCGGCCGCCCGGGCTGCCGCCGCCCACTGCCCGGGCGCTGCCTGCTCAGCCATCTGGCCTTGGGGGCCCCAAACTAAGGAGCAGCCCCCTGCCTGGCGGGCTGGGCAGTCCGGCCCCGCCCCTGCCGCCGGAGAGGCCTGTGGCGCGAGCGGGGCAGCAGCGGCCTTCTGGGGCAGGGCCCCGGGCCCGCGCGGCACTGCCCCGGCCGGCAGGAAAGGACAAAGCCTGCTTTCTTCGCCACACGCCCCGGAAATGCGTGGGAGAGAGGCGGCCACTCAGAGGCTATTTGGGGGGGCTGGTGACCAGCCGGGGGTGGCAGGGAGCCAAGCCCCTCCTTGATCTCGCCACCTCTTGGCTCCTGCCGGCGAGTGGAGAGACCCGGGGGCCCTGGAGGGAGCTGGGGCCCGCACGTCCCTCGGGAGATGGGTGTCCTCCTCTCGCTCTCTGATGCCCCCAGGACAAGAGGCCAGCGAGGAGGGGTCACAGCCACGCAGGGGCTCCCTCGGCCTGCGGCCCACCGGGCCCCGTCCCCAGGAGCTCCGGCCGTGGGGCCGTTGCCCCACACACCGAGGAGGGCGCCCGGCCTCTGGCTCGCCCCTTGCCCTGCGGGTCACAGCTGGCTGGTGAGTCACTGCCGCCGGACTGCCCGGCAGCCCCGGAGCCGCTCAGTACTGGCGGAAGCGGCCGTGTCGCCACCGGAAGCCTGCCCGCGGGGTAAGGGCCTCCTGCTGCCTCGCCCAGACCAAAGGCCCCGATAAGGTCTCGGGCCCAGATAACAGGCCGCCAGGACCTGCCTGCTGAGTCACCGGTCCACCCCGCCCCGCTGGCCACTGCTTGGCCAGTAATGCCCGGGGTTGCCCGGGAACACCGCACCGGCGGCACCCACGCTCCTCCGGGGCCCCCAACTCTCCCGGGCCATGGGGGCCACCTTGGGTGTCTGTCCCAGGCGGACCTCCGAGGGCAGCAGAGCCCTTGGGTGCTGGTCCCTTCCGGGGCACCCAGGGCGCACGGTGGGGTCAGGGCCTCAGCGCTCTGGGGGCAGTTTGGTCTGACAGCACCCCTTGCCCTCTATCTCCGTCTGCCTGGGCTCCTGGACCCCGCCCACACGGTGGGGGGCAAGAGAGGCCTCCCCAGCCCTCCGCTAGGTGACTCAGGCCCAGGCCAGTGGCTCCCAGGCGGCCAGACCGGTTGGACAGGTGCCCGGCAGGGGCAAAGGCCACTTCCTTCCTCCACCTGCTCCTGGAGGCTGTGGCAGGGAGGGCAGGGTCTTGGGGTGTGGGCATGGGTGGAGGGGTGAAGGGCAGTAGCTGGGGCATGCCAGGGGAAGGCCCCGTGCAGTGCTCTGTGGACCCGCTCTCGCCAGGAGGCGGCAGGGGACCAGGTGCCAGTCTTGCCAAGGGGCACTGGGGCAAATGCCACTCTCCCAGCCTGCGAACTCGTGGGGAGCCTCTCCCTCTCCAGCACCTCAGTTTCCCCATTCATCAAAGGGAGGGGCGAGGTTATAAAGCACCTCAGATCTCAGTGTGAAGGAGGGCAGAGAAGCTGATAGAATGTTCTGAAAGGCAGGGCAGGAGCGGAGGTGATCTTGGGGGCTCCCAGGAGGGCAGAGGGAAGTGAGCAGCCTTCTGGGTCAGATGAACAGGAGGCTGGAGCATCGGTGGTGCGCGTGTGAGGGGTGTGT